AACCTTCCTCTAGATCTATCGTCACTATTAGGGCAGAGTGCTTTGACATGTCCGATCAAAGATCAAGTATTCAACCATGAGTTGTTGACTGTCCCACAGTGTCCTACTCCCTGACTAGGAAGGGATTTACTATTAAAATTGGAGGTGGTTCTCCAATTATGGAAAGGGCTCTAGAAAGAAAGTACCATCTCCACTCTGCATAGAGATCTCAGTTCTCCAGAGAGGTCAAAAGGGCAAAACTCTGGCCAAGTTGCTGAGAGACTTCTGGGTCTTGGCTCCAATTATTGCCAATAGCCCTCATGAGGATTCAAAACACCTCAAATATTGGGCTAAAAATGACTGCATTTAAAATGCTGTATGGAAGATCTTTTATATCTTCTGATATGGTAGTAGACCCAGAGGCCACAAGATTTCACAATATCTTATTAATTTAGACCAAGTACAACAATCTATCCAACTATACGGGAACCAAGTCCTGCCGGCTTCTGCACTATGGGGCCACCTGCCCTGGAGATCAAGTGTTTGTGAAAGCTCGGAAAGAAGGAGCTCCTGCAAATCAATCAAACGCAAATGGAAGGGTCCCTTTTCAGTGATCCTTGCCACAAACACTGCAAGAAACATGAGAAGATAAATAGCTGGATTCACCTTTCTAGGACAAAGCCCACCCCGCCTGACCTGCCTGAGGCAAAGGATCTCTGGAATATCTAAGGCTCCTCTTCAAAAAGCAAGACTCTGATACTTCCCTGGGTGCAGCTAAGTAGAATTATTGAGGTCCCTGATCCACCACAGCTTAAATGGGCACCTGCTTTAGAACACGGGCTTCTGTTTTTATTTTTATTTATTATTATTCTTTTTTGCGGTACAGGGAATCAAACTCAGAACCTTGAACTCGCAAGACTGGTAATGGTACCATTTAGCTAAATCTCCAGTGAAACTCCTATTTGTTAGTAGGACCCATAATGTAGGTAATCCTGCTAGGGATACGCCTTTCAGGTTTTTGGTCATCTCTCTAATATCCCTCTTTGCCATGCTTTTCCCTCCATAGGGAACACAAGAATAAAGCTCATTAGTAAACTTCTCCCAAATAATATCACAAAGAAATAATCTCTAGTTGCTGGATCCGTTATAATTCACTTTTTAAGGCAGACCAGGAAATAGTCTGATCTGTTCCTCAAGATGCTTTGGTCCTCTTTGATCTTATTTTCCAAAAATTACTGGGTTCCGCTTTCTCACGACTACTTTGTGGTCAGCCAGTTCCTTGTCATATTTGACCCCTGCCTCTTCAACCTAATAGCGAAGTTTGTCCACGCAGGATTTCAGATGATGGTCCAGACTACAAGCCATGACTCTCCTGACAAATACATCTTGCTTTCTCCCTTTGAAGTGGCAGCTCAGCAGTATCTGGGAAGCAGCTCTAATTGTTTCCTCACTGTCTTCTGACAGGTTCTTATCAGCCTGACTGGTAATCCCCAGTACCCCAAGGTCGAAGGAGAGCACATAATACCTAGTAGGAAGGACCTAGAGCTCCTTTCAGTGAGAATCAACTATAAGAAGAAAGAGACCTCTACTCCCTCATCATCCTATAAAGAATTATGAGGATCATGTCTTTCAGGGGAGAAGGAAATGAGGTAGGAGACTCTAGGCTTGGCTCCTGAGCACTGTACACAGAACCAATCAGAAAATGACATTTTCAATGCCTCGTTTGAATTTGGTGCTACCCTCAGGATCAACCAGAAAGTGCTATTTTCAATTCTTCATAACATCTAGTGGGAAGCCAAATGAGTTTTTTGATAGGGCAGTTTAAATCTGGGGCCAGGCCAAGTGAGGTTTTGCTAAGACAACTGTAATGCCTTTTTTGCATTAAGGAGAAACCATCTGGGAACTTCAAATAGAAAATAACCTTTTCCCTTATCCTTAGGGCCTCTATGAGTGTTCACCAGTCCACTCTCACCCTGTATAGCAAACTTCTTTTCTACCTGCAATAAATGCACACCCTCACTACCTGGAAGAAAAAGGAAAAGGAGACGAGGGAGAGGGAGGAGAAGAAGCAGATGAAAGAGAGGAAGGAGGAGGAGAGGGAAAGAAGAGGAAGGAAGAGGAGGAAGAGAGAAAGGAAGAGAACGAGGAGGAGCAGAAGGATGGGAGAATAGGCAGCTGGGCATGGTGGTACATGTCTATAATTCCAGCACTCAGTAGCTGCAGCAAGAAGATTGCCAGAAAATAGAGGCTACATAGTGAGTTCAAGGCCAGCCTGAACTACTTGAGATTCTATTAAAAAAAAAAAAGACAAATAAAACACAAAACGAAGTAGAAACACTTGAGTAGGTGGATTTATTGATAGTAAAGCACCAATGATATTTTTTTAAATTTAATGTTGATGGTTTGGTTACATTGTCTTGATGTTAGACAATATCCTTGTTTGTAGAAAGTTGAAGTATTTGAGAGTGATGGAATACCAACTACTTTCAGAGAATTTCGAAGGAAAAGTTGTTTGTGTTATTCTTCTAATTTCTCTGTAAATTTTTAAACTGTAGTAACCATGGATAGAAAATTACTCAACTTAATAACTGGGACAGACTTTAAAGATAATAGGAATTGCTGCCAAAAACAATTGCAAGTATTCCCAGCAACGAGGTTATCTGTCATATGTTTAAAGCACTCCATTCCCAAAAGGGTCCGGATCACTTTTCCCCCAAAAAAACTCGGTACTTAGCCTGACACTCAGTAGATTCTCACCATGCTGAGTCTCTTTTTAATAGTAGTCAGTTTCCTCTGAGATGAGGTAGAGCATCCTTTTGTTTTTTTCTAAGAGTAAGAAAACATTTATTGAAAGAAAGCTTCTAAGAGAGACAGAAGAGGAACCGGAAAGTGGGTTGCCCACTCACCCCATTTTTCAAATATGTTTTATACAGCAAAGCCATGTGGTGAAGCAGGTACAAAGTGGGTTAAAACTATAAGACCCAGTGGAAAATTACAAGGTGGGCAAGAGGTGGTCAAAACCATGACCAGCCAATAAGATTACAAGTACGGTCACCCAGGTAATATTGAGTAAGTGGGGGGGGGCAAGTAGGGGGAAAGTCACATAGCAAGCGTGCAAGGATTTTCAGTAAGGGTGGGGTCAGGGATATTTTCTGGAAAGGCTGGGCTAAGACCTTGGCCCCCCACCCACGTGATTGATACCTATTTAGAATATCAATCGCTGCTCTTTGTCCCCCAGGAAAGCACAAGGGTGTAGTGGTTTCTCTCCTTTTACAGTTCTGGCCTTCAGTGGATGAGTCTTGATTGTCCTCCATGTTGGCTCCTTGAGGGTGGCCCTGTCTAACCGCCTACGAGATACCCAATTAACTTACCTGTCTGCAGTATTCCCCCTCTGAGGAAGTAGCCCTAACTGCTGGGAGGGGGCAAGGCGCGACGAAGGCTCTGGCTACTTCCAGCTGAAGAGGGTGGCAGTTGGGAAGGGCACCCTTAAATCATGAATTCCTTTATTTCCCAGACGGTTTCTGTGTCGTTGTCTCTGCTTGCTTTCTCACATTTTAAAAATTGCATTTTTACTGTAATTATGTGGTTGATAATGGGAATGCATTTTCAGGTCACAAAACATAATCATTTCATGAAAACCAGAAGAGAGCTCTGATAAATAAATAAGAAAGATTGAATTTTACCAAAAAAAAAAAATCTGAAGTTCAGAACCAGACCCCCACTTCTAGTAGGATCATTCAAATGAAATAAAAACTTGGACACCAAATATTACATAAAATTATCATAGCTAAGTTAAAAAGAAATTAATATGCATTCAAAGAGGGACTGGGCCCTCGAGGAAGTCAGTGCAGAAGATGCATACACACCCACATTGTGGCTGGAGGTGAATCTGAAGAGGGCCAGACTTCAAGTAATAGCCAGGCCTGCGAGCCTTCCGAGAGACAAACAGCAATGGGAGATTATACTGTAAATTAGCAACATCAGACATATAGGTGCATAACCCTAACATCTGGGCCCCTAGTCCCCTTTCCAAGGATGCCTTTGTTCTCTCCTTGTGCCCCTGCTGTGTGGCTCATTTCTTTATTGGATCAACATTCGCTAAGTAACTATACTTATAATCCTATAGGCTGTAGTTTGCCCCTTGTTGCATCCACACTGTGATTTTGCTGCATAGATTTCCCTTGGCCTTGGTGGCCACCCCTTCAGAACTCCTCTGGAAATTCAGGAGCTATGCTCATTTCCAATAAAACGCTCCTAACATTTTTCTTTGGTTCTCGATTTAAGTCGTCAGTGTTGTGACACCCTCAACTCAGCACATCTGACACCTGACAGCTGGGGATTATTTTTTCCACAACAAAATGACTTGAATGAATCTGAGACACCATAATGAAGTGATTATGGCTAGTGCCAGTTATAAATCTTGGGAAATTACTCATGAATTCTGAGAAGCATGCTTCCCCCTCAATAGTTTGAGCACTGTATTGCAGGCCCAGCCCCAAAGCCTGCTAGATTTTTGAAATAGATCCAGGGTCAGACCACTAATGCGTCTATGGTCAAGCTGCCTTCTGTACTCTCTTGTGACTTTGCTCCTTTATCCACTGTGGCTACTGCTGACTCTTCGGGGGGCTGAAAAGCTGAGGGCGACTCAGTTTACAAAAGAATAGATGAGACCACTGCCAAGAAGTGCTTGCTCACCTCTCCTTCAGCAGCAGGGGAATCTCCCTTTCCTTTCTCAGGGGAAGCGTAAGAAATATTCAAAATGAAGCTGAGTCCTTCTTACCAACCTCAGCCCACACCTCCCAGCAAACGAACTTGAAAAATCCCTGGTGTGAAAATTTACCGCAAACTATTTTGTCACAAGAAAAAAATACTTCCTATACTTGAGATCAGAGAACAGAGTGGTAGCTCAATTTCCTGGCTGAACTCACCGTGTAATACTTAAAGAGAGCAACTCCTGACTGTCACACAGACCGGATGGACCGGCCAAGATGACAGCCCGGGAGGACTGATCCCTTCCAGTGTCATCCTCTCAGCACCATGCAAGAAAGAGGCTAAGAGGCAGCCAGGGCATCACAGAGAACACTGCCTTTTTACTGCCCTGAGCTGACCCCGAGTGCCAGGAAGATGGAGCCACGCGTGCTGGTGTGGGGATTATTCACATTCATCATGGTACCTGGCTGTATGACAGGTAAGGGGCCGTGAATTGTCCTTTGACTCTTGGGAGGGGCTCATGAACATTAGCCCTTCCCAGCTCAGGACCAGAAAGGGTACAAAGGAGAAAGTTCTGAGAAGGGAGTTTAATCTTACCTGTGACCTACTGGGCGCTCATTTTATGCCTCAGTGGCCCCTGATCTGTAAAGAAAGCATTGAATGAAGCTCTCCTATTATACACAGCCTTAGCAGTTAATCCAGGGAGGGTTAGAGTTTAGTCTTCTAAGCACCCTCCTCTTCCCAGTTGTCACATAATACCGAAAAGTTCTTAGGGATCTAAGTCCAGGTTAATTCGCCTTAGACAGTGGTAACCCATACATGAAACACTAGGATTTTTAACATCTCAGAAAAAATTTAGCTTAAAGGATGGAGTCTTTATTTTTACTGCCTCTAAAAATAATACCTAGAAAGTTTCTTACAAGTGCAACTTTATAGAAAATTCATGAATGTGTTCCCTTTTACAGCATCACTGTTTTCTGTTTTTCTCTGTTTATATATGACATGTATGATAGGCAAGTTTTTATCATCCTGGGTTCTCTCAGATTTTTTTTTTTGAGAAAAAAACACTAACAATACCTCAAACCATCCTTCTTATTTGTGAATTTTCTAATATTTTCCCTTGATGATCCAGAAAGATAGATAAGATATAAATATGTATTTTTGAAAGTCTATAGCTTCATATCCTTAATTTCTAGAAATAGACTTCTTTAGGCTGCAGGAAAAAAAGTGTTAAGAGAAAAAATGGCTACCGTGGCTTTTCCTCACAGTAGCCCACCCTGCTTTCTCTAGAGTGTTCTTTCATCTTGCTTTTTTCCCTTTTACTTGGCCCAAGATCACTCTACAGAGCCAGTTTCTCTTCCACTCTCTACTTCTACTTTCTCGAATAAATTTTGTGACTATTAAAAAAAGACGAAAAATGCATGCAAAAGTTTGTTTGGTGATTTGAGGGAAGTGGCTAGGTTGACTTGGGCTCTGTACTGATCCACTTACAGGAGCTTCCTCACTTTGGAGGTAAAGGGGTAATGATTTTAGGAGGTTTGTAATGTAATCTGTTCCTCAGCAGGGTCTTTTCCAGGTTGGTCCAAGCCAGAACAGCAAAAGCTTTACAATCGATCATGAACTATCTATGGGAATAGATTTCAAGCAAATCTGTGTTATTGTTAGCCATGCATGACTTATCTGGGGATTAAAATGGTCTAACAGACAGTAGAGTAAATGAAATATCACGTAGTCACTTTCTTTCACTCAGTTTTGCAAAATTCTATCAAATACTCAGGTCCCTTTTCAACACTGTAGGAAATAAAAACACAAACACAACAGGTGCTGACCCTAAGAAACTTACCACCTCATCAGGAGGAGAAAGGCACAGACAGATGAAAAGTAACACAAGCTGGACCACGATGGGGTCTACAGATCAGTGGGGATGTGAGAGGCTTTGGGAAAGTGACATGAACAGGACTCCCAGGGGCCGCAAGTGCAGATTCCAGATAGAAAGAACACACACAAAGACACAGCAGAGGGCTAGGGAACAGAAAATGGTCTGCTGTGTTCTCTGTGTTCTAAATAGGGATGTGGAGATACCATGAATTAAAACTGGATAAGCAAGCTCAGTATGGTGGCACACGCGTGTAATCCCAGCACTTGGGAGGCTGAGGCAGGTGGATCGCTGTGCTTTTGAGGCCAGCCTGGACTCCAAGTGAGGTCAAGGCCAGTCTGAGCTACATAATGAGACCCTGTCTCAAAACACCTAACCAAAACAAAACAAGACTGGAAAGGTAGGCTGGGGTCAAAGAAATGACTCAAAGCCTTCGATACCAAGTTGAAACTTTTAAAATTTATTTGGTGGGCTGGGGATTTATCTCAGTGAGTCTGCTGCCTGCCTCGTAAGTGCAAGGTCCCGAGTTCAATCCCCAGTACAAAAAAAAAAAAAAATTGGTAAGCAATAAAGGACTACTAGAAAACTTTTTTAAAAATATGATTCCTAAGTACTTTCCACGTGCCAGACCCATGATTCTTATCCTTCTCCTTATAACCACTCTGCAGTGTGGAAATCCTAAGACCCTAAATGAAGAAGAACCCAAACTCAGAATCACATAGGCCCTGACTGCACCAGAGCTCAAACCCAGCCTTCTTGGCTTGTGACCTTTGTGTTCACTGCCAAGAGGGTCAGAGGTGACTCCATAGAGTGGAGGGAGATCAGGTGCTGGGGGGTAGAGTGTGAGGCTCTTAAAGTAGCCCAGGGTCCAAAGTGAATGAAACGGATTGAATTTCTGGAACAAACAGACGGCACAGGAACCACTCCAGGGAAAGAAATAATCTCCTCTCAGACCTCTTCCTCAGGGGGAACCTAGTCTTTTTTGGTTTTTTGTTCTTTTTTTTTTGGTTGCAGGGAATTGAACTTGGAGGAATCTAGTCTTAAAATACTAAGTCCTTTTTAATCATTGATGATGAGAATTCAACAAAATCAATGGACTGTCAACAGATACAATTTCTAGCTGATTCATAAGGCAGATTTTTCATTCTGAAAATTTCCAAAGCCACCATTTAAAATTGTGATGGGGTGCAGGGGATATATTAGTCAACTTGAGGGCTTGTATTCTCTATATTACTGGGTCCTGGGATGTGGTTAAAAAGAGAATTCTCCTGATGTTACCAACACAGCAAGTTATTAAAGGCATCTTTCTCAGAATTATGGAAATTCTGAGTGTTTACATGTCTCTTAACCATCTCTCTTTCATTCTAGGAATTCTGTGATCAAATCTTTATCCCCCAGATTCAAAACAATTTTTAAAAAGGCACAGAAAACCATTATGGCAATGTTTGTCTAATATCCCTTCTTGTAAACACCACTGCCTACAGTAGGGTATCCCACCTTCAACTTTGCCTAAAACATACAACATTTTACCCTTCTCATTTAATCTTTGAGTTGCTCTGGACCTTCCACCCCTTAAAATTATTGCCACTGTCTCTTGTTCATCTTCAAGTCAGACTCAAAGAGGGAAGGCTTTGGTAAGCCTTGGGAATACCTTGTAAAATAGCCACTGCTTTCTTTAAAACAGTGTGTTTTAAATATGCAGTTTGATTGTCTGTGTGTTCGCTCTCTTTTGGACTTGAGAATTGAAAAGAATTGACTTTACAGTTCGGTAGAAAAAAACTGGTTTCACTGATACTAGTTAGAGGTGCTAGGGAAGAATGGCTAGTGTTCTCTACAACTCCATTGTGCCCTCATCACAAAGACAGGGATTTGTAGAATTTATTTGGTTAAAGTCACAGTATTCTGAAGTTGAAAAAAAATTTTTTTGGAGACAGGGTCTCACGATGCAGTCCAGGATGGCCTTGAATACACTATGCAGCCCAGTCTGGCCTCAAGCTCATGGTCATCCTCCTGCCTTGGTCTCCCAAGTGCTGGGGTTATAGGCGAGCACCCTCACACCCAAGCCTTGGTATCCTGGATACTGCTGTGTAATTTCTGTGGAAGTCATTCCTAGGCATAGGCACCATGGAGGCAGGCCATTACTCAACACAGTGACTATTCAAATGAATTCCCTGCTCCCCTAATGGTCCAATGATGAGCAGGAATTTTACAAATAAACAGAAGTCCTGTAGGAAATGGGGCATGTCCTCTGAGGTTAGTGGAGAACAGAGTTAGGAGGAAAATGAATTTTTCAGGAAGAGGAAAATGGAGCAAGACATTTCTAGTGACATTGTTGGTGATCAAAGAGAAGACATGCAGAAGTCATGTCAAATTACTCCCTGGGAAAGGAGGTTGACCAAGAGATCTCAAAATTCCCTTCAAGTTCCATCACTCTATGTCAAGAATTCTGAAGAAAAAAGCTCTACTTAAAAAGTACTTTCAAGTGAGGGTACTTTTGGAAGTGGAAAAATTTTCCAGCTGAAAGCATACTCAGCAGGGTCAGAGTTAAGAGATCTTGAATGTCAACAGACCAAAGCCCAAAATCTCATTGTAGGTTATTTCCAGCTCTTAAAAGGTACTGCCCAGCACCACAGCATGACCCATTGCTTCCGTACTGCTGCAGTGCAAAATACCGCATAGATAGATGAACAGTATTGTTACTCATTTGCTTGGTCAGGGCATTTCTGCCTCTAGTGTCCTTGTTTCTCACAGGAGAGGCTTTACATGAGTGGGGATCTAGCTGCCTTCTCTCTATCCCAAACCATTCACTGTGCGAAAAGGAGAAAGGACTTTAATTCAATTGATTGCTTCAAAAGGTTATGAGCCCTTCATCTGTGAGCATGTTCAAGTAAAAACTGTACTAAAATCCAGGTATCTTAAATTCGAGCCTAATTTTCCCTGCACATTTGTGCATCGATTTCTACTGATGCTCCTTCATCTATCCATCCCCGAGTTAGAATTACAGAGGTGAACAAGGTTACAGACAATGGGGAGAAACATCTGCTGAGCAGTTCTTGTCTTGAAGATTGCCCGAGGAGCGAATGAGAAAACAGCCCATCTTTGATTTCCCCACCATGTTTTCAAGTACATCACTCATTTAAGGGAAGGTGATACTATAATTGTCTCTCGTAATATTTGGTATTTCTGCTCTAAGATTCTTCAGATAGTTTTGGCTACTGGGCTGACTTTAACTTACTCTGGAATTTATTTTCCCCAACAGAAGAAAAAAATTCCACTGAGAAATGGTTTTGGAGCAACGGTTCCCAACACCAGCTGCATATTAGAATGTGCATCTGGAATACTAGAGAAGTGATATTCCAGACGTATTAAGGCCAATAAAATCAGACTCTCTGGCGAAGAGAGCCAGAAATAATGTTGACATCTGTTGTAAGGTTCTCAAATGACTTAAGATGCAATTTGGATCTAATGACTATGACTGTAGGGAGACAAAATAACAAGTAAGTGCTATATAGTTGGCTAATTCTACTGTGCCAGATCTATTCATTGAAAACAGCAGCAGTTCTCAAATGGTAACACATTTACAAGTCACTGGGGAATCTTGT